TGGCCGGGGATAGGAATTGAGCTGGGGTTCTCTTGACTCTGGATTCATTACATTTGACTACACCATTTTGTTTTGGGGACCATTAAAAAAACCCCTCAATTTCTCAGGTAACAGAGGCAGCTAGTTGTCTAACAGTTCACAGGGGCACAATGAAAGCGCCTGGAAAATGCATTTTCACAAACTGGTTAAAGAGTTCCTCCAAGGCCTTGTTTACCGTGTTTGTTTGTTCACTGGTTTCTTGTTTAAAAATAAACCGGTCCAACCCAGGAATTTTCAGGAAGAATCACAAATTCCAAAATAGAAGAGGTTTTTGTTTTTTGATAGTGCAGAACTAGGCTTGTAAACCTGAAGTCACTGTCTGCTCTAAAAAGGGTTTCACTTAAAAGAAGATCCCCGGTTAAGGCTCTGCCCAGCTCTTCTGCCCTCAAGAGCTACTAATGAAAGCCAGTAATTTGTGGGTGGCAGAGAAGGAAGACTCTGAAGCAGGGGTGGGGCGCGAGCAAGACGCACTCTCCGCTCCAGAGTTTGACAAGAGGCCCGAACTACCTGATTTTTAATGAGTTCCATTAACTGCCAGGGAAAAAGGCGTCTGCAAATGCGTTATCAAGAAACACTCCGCGGTTACCGTCGTTTCTCTGCCGGCGGGATGAAGACACCCCAGGCCTGCACAAAACAGTCAAGTTACACTTTAGCTGTCCCCCGCGACTGCGTTTACGATTTCCATATAAGGTGACACCCCCTTTCCCGGATTGTAAGACTTTATCCTCAGCACGAAAACGAGCGGCCGAAACCCACTTGCGGACATTTTTCCTCGCGATGATTTTAGTCCCTCGGCCTTTCAACTGGGGTCCGACCCGGCGGGCGTCCGCCCGAGCGGCGGCCTGAGGAGACGGCCCCACTCCTTACGCCCCCCCCCCCCCCCCCCCCCCGACACAAAGGCAAAGCCCGGGCCCTGCCCGCCGCCACACTCGCCCTACCGGGTTCCGAGCCACACTTACCTGACGCTCCCCGAACCCGCCCGGGAGGCGCGCGCACACGGCGCCGCGAGAAGCCGCCGCGGGGACCCGCCGTGCCGCAGCAGCGCGCGCCCCCCGCCTTGGCCGGCGCGGCCACGCGGCTGAGTCAACCTGCGCTTCACATTAAGAGTCCCCTCGGCGCGCGGGGCACGCCGGGAAGGCTGGGCTCCGGACCCTCCGCCTGGGGTGGCCGCTGATAGGTGCCCTCTTTCTTTCCCGACACGCCCACCCGCCCGAAGGAGGACGCTCTCGCACCTACACTGCTGGGGTGGATTCGATTTCTGAGCTGCGGATGCCCCCTTTCAATTATTAAAGGTAGTTTACCTGAGTTGTAAAATAATCTCGCGCAGCCCCAGGACAGCTAATGCTCAAAGAAGATTGTGGAGCACCTCGATCTCTCCACGCATTTGGGGAGGGGGGTAGGTAGTAAGAATAACGGAGTTCCTTAAACACGTTTTGCTTAGAAGCCCCTATCCTGGGTTTGCATTCTGACCAAAGCAGGAAAAAAAAAAACACCCACATTTTCCTCAAACTTTGAATTAATGAAACCACATGGTAGATATAGCAAACAAAGTTGAATTACAAATTTTAAATCAACCGGAAGCAAATTATTGGAAAATTGGTGTGTTACGAGTAAAATATTTCAACACTCAAACATATTAACGTATGGTCCATGTCCTATAAAACGAGTGCTGAAAACATGAAGGAAATAGTATCAGTCCTTATTGTCCTGATTTCTAGTGGCTTTTGTATTTTTTAAAAGTTATAAAGTTATACTTATTATGCAAACAGTTTTATTTTAAAATTGCTGAAAACTGGGCACCTGGGTGGTTCAGTGGGTTAAGCGTGGGACTCAGTTTCTGCTCAGGTTGTGATCTCAGGGTCGTGGGACAGAGCCGGCGTAGGGTTCCCCGCTGAGGGGGGGGGGGGAGTCTACTTGTCCTCCCTCTACCCCTCCCTCCCCTCTCATAAATAAAAATAAAATCTTTAAAAAAAAAAGGAATGCTCAGAAAAGTATCTTTTCCTTCCCTTTTCCCTCCAATCTTTCCCCATCTATTCCCTACAGATAACCAGTTTTATTAATTTGTTTATCCTTCATATTTCTCTTTGAAGAAATAAGCATAAAATGCATGCATACGTATAAATTCAAAATTCCATTTTTTCTTATACAGAAGATGGACCACTGTATCAAATGCTGTCTTTTGCTATTTTTACTTAACAATATATCCTGGAATTCACTACAAAGGAATGATTAGAAACCATCCTCATTCTTTTTATTACTATGTAATACTCCACTCTGTAGATGTTAATATGTAGAACTTTGATAGAGAAAAGAGGGAAGGGCATGCCAGACAGTGTAGATGGCATATAACAGGCAGGAAAGTAAGAGTGAACAAGGCCTTATTACTATATAAAAGGGGGGTGGGGTGGGAGACCAATCAGGCTAGAGTGAAGGGTTAATGAAAAAGGATGGCAGAAATCAGGGTCATGATCGTATCATACAACTCCAGGGAACCCTGTGTATACCATCACCTAAGGAGCTGTACAATGCACAACCTGGATGACTATATACAAAAACCCTGGGGGAAGATAAAGTTGAAAAATAAGATGGAGCCAGCTTATGGAGGCCTTGAATTACAAAGTAAAACAGAATTTTGTCTTGTAGCCAAAGCTTTTATATACAGAAGGCTCATGTTCAAAATGCTTGAAGATGAATGCTTCAAGATAAATATAGCCACAGATGGACTGGAATAGTTAAAAGAAGAGGCTATTGGAATTGTCCCAGTGTGAAGATCAACAGGATCTTAACAGGTTAATGGCAAGAAGAGTAATACTTAAGAAGACATAGTCCTGCCTATGTTCAAAGAGCTTACAATCTAGTTGTTGAGAAAACTCAAAACACAAGAGTTTTATAATACAGAAGAGTAATATTTTGGAATAAGAGACCTTAGTGATTATATTGTCCAGTGGTTCTCAAGTTTAGCTGACAATCAGTATCACCCAGAACTCGTTAAAAACATATTCTTGGGCTCCATTCCCCAGAGATTCTGATTCAGTAAGTTTGGGGCAGAATCTGAGAACGAATTTTTAAGCTCTTCAGGTGATCCGGTGGGCTGCGTATGTTTGAGAACAAATGATTTAGTTTAACTTTTCATTTCATGGACGAGAGACTGATTCACAGCAATATTCTTTTTAAGAATATTCTAGGAGACTGGGCGCCTGGGTGGCTCAGTTGGTTAAGCGACTGCCTCCGGCTCAGGTCATGATCCTGGAGTCCTGGGATCGAGTCCCGCATCGGGCTCCCTGCTC